TTCTATACAAATTTCATAATTCGAGATAATTGCAACTGTATAATCGCTAGTATTATGACTATCAAATGGCTTATATTATGCATATAAAGTATAATTATATGTCGCAAGACACAAGAGATATCCAATATTCGCAACGAGTTATTTATCGGTCTTAATACGTACATCTCGAGTCTCTTTTGCCATCAAACGCCTTGCTGACGCCAGAAAGACATATTCATCACTTTGGGCTAATAAGAAAATGACAAGGAGAACTTGCCGAAGCTAATTTTCGAGCTATTATTTCCCCTTTGGTCGTCCCCGCCCATCTGCGACATTATTACTCTGCATGTCACCGATTATGTGTGTACGGCGAAGCGAATCAAAATAGACGTGCCTGCGCATGAATTGGCCATTGTCCAAGATTCGGTTTAATTACGTTGCTATTCTCTAAACTATACACTTTTATATATGGCTATATATATATATATATATAGCATTAATAGGAACTTATCTGTCAGTGCTTTAGTAGAGAAACTATACGACAATACAACAGTCGCTATTCTGTCTCGCCAATCATTTCATGATGATCCTCCTTCGTTTCTCTGTAAAAATTATGAGACCATGAAAGAAAAGAAAATTAGCGATTAATGTTATTAAATATAAGTTATTGCTTATATTCAGGAAAATATTAGTATGCTATTTGTATATATGAAAAACAAAGACACATTAATAGAGGTTTTTTTTAAACTTTTCTCTCTCTCTCTCTCTCTCTCTCTCTCTCTTATTGTAATTCTACTTTTAGATTATTTATATAATCTATATGATTGTATAAATATATATAATGATATACGTCACGTATGTATATATCTGATGAAATATGTGGAAACTCAAAAAAGAAATTAATTTCTTTAACTCTAATAATATATATATCTTTTATTTTTTCTTGTAAATTTTTTAAAAAATCAAGATAAGTTTGTGATATAAAAGTTTTCGATATACAATTTTGATATAAAATTATTTCTGATGGCTTTTTTTGATACGGTATCTTTTTATAAGTATTTTTCATCCTATTTTTTTTTTTTTTTCATTGTGTTTATTCATATTACTTATCGCAAAAATGAGCTTCAATATGAATTTGATCGAGTTTGTTTTATCTTGTTTTCAATCGTCAACGTTTATCGTTTAATCAGTTTCTATCTCGTGTAAGTGCATCGATTAATAATAAACTGACGTAAGGAGAGGGAAAGAAGCAGAAAGAAGATTCTTGGCTGCGTAATGTGCAAGACTGCGGTTTGTTGCCCGAAGAACGAAGCCATATCAATTCCTTTAATCACATTTATTCAGAAGCCACCGATCGTTTTTAATAAATGAGCAATGTGCCGATAGTCATTACTTTATGCTGTTACGATGTTATGAATGAGATCGGTATACTCATTCCTCTTATTATACAGTAATAAAGTTTTACAAAATCGCAAAAAAAAAAAAAAAAAAAACGTTCTACAACATGGAATTGCAATATGCATGCTATTGATTGTGAATATACTATGATTTCTTAACAGAGTCTTTTGTCTTTGGAAATTTAGTTTTCTCGCTATGATATTTAACAATGAATGTATGTACTTTCACCCACAATGATGCACAATATAATCGCGCTTGACAAAGACTCGATCCTTTTGTCTAGTTTTAGCGTCAATGAGTTAACGAATAGAAAAGTTGATACGGAAATAACCTTCAAGCACAACAGCTTCAAATTTCTCTCGTAACAGTATATAACTCCGCGATGAGAGATTATTTCAATATGTACACATATTATACAAATTATTCCATAACGTTGTTAAATACAATGTATTTGATCAAGCTTTTTTTAATTTACGCTCTGTGTAATACAATATAAATTAATTTATATATACATACATGGTATACTGCAATGCTCTTATAACTGCGATAGTATTCATTAAATTAATGCATTTTTTAAATGACGAGATGAAATGGATGCGCGACGAGAGATTAATATATAATCGATGATATCTTACGGATGATATCATCCCGGTATCGAATATTTCTGAATCGCCTATTCTGTCGTATTGTTTTCCGTATAATACAAGGGTGCTTGAGGAATGGTTTCTGATCTCTGATAAATATAATGGTTCTTGATTATACCGTTTGTATTTTACGCGCGGTCGCGCCTTTGCGGCGGTTCTCTAGCATTTTGCCGATATCTAAATTAGTTTTCGTCGGGTTTGCCGGACCATCCGGAGTTTGCATAAGGCTGCTCAGGAACGCCGTATTACTCGGTCAACTTTAGCACTTTCGGGACATCATACAAGCAACTTGCTGTCAGACGCTAGAAATGGATACGCTTTAGTCTAATAATGATAGAAAGATATAGTTGTGATATAAAATTTTGCACGTGTTATATGAATATAGTGATATAGTATATGTAATCGCGGAAAAGGCGGAAAAGAGAAATATATTATCTGCAAAAACAAAAATGTAAATTAAAATAAGAGACGGATATGAATTTTGTTCTGTGTACTAAATGCATACATTTCGCCATTGCCTCGCAATCTCGTGCATTATTCAAGCGAAATGTAATAATTCACATATGTTATATTCGCGTCTGTTTGCTTATCCGCTTACGGTGAATAATTTCAGAACCCCCCTCATATCACGCGCCATCACATCAATACGCTCGTATCGTCGTTCGTTTAAAGGTGTTTTTGGAAAGTGATAGCACTCCGCTAAATTATTATTTGAAAATGTACAGATCATCACGATCACAAAGCGGAACACTTTGACGAGATTCACGACTAAATTTCAACAAAATTCTGTTTATTAATTTTACTATACACGTATATATCATGTACGCGCGTTTCTGCATCATATAATCTCGCCAAAATAAAATTACTTTTGCAGTCGCGCGTGTAGCTTTTTATTTCCGACAAAGTATTCTCGCGATTAATTTACTACACGAGATATACATTATGTAAAATGGACGTTGTTCTTTTTAATATCACGCAATTAAGATGATGACCTAATATCATAAAAGAAAATGATGTTGGGACTCTTTGAAATGTCGATTAACTTGAGGGTTATTTTATGTCGGATATCTGGCAACACTTCTGGTATTCTTATCGAGGGGAAAATTGTAAAATATTAGTTATTAAGTATAATAGAGATATAAATTTGCAGAGGTAATGAATCATGTATTTCAAAGAGCATAAAGTACAATTAATTTGATACAAAATTTTAGATTTCTATCTTTATTCTTCTCTCTGTCTATAAAGAATTATAAAAGAAATTAATTGTAATAAACGTAACTGAAACTTTTTATAAACTGAAACTTCTTTTTTCTTGAAATGAGAAAAATATGATTTACATTATCTGCTGTATTCTTTTATATATTGTGCGCAATTGGATTTTGTGCAGGCGATTGTTTTTGGCCAAAATGTCTTTTGATTGTTGCCACATGTCGTCGAATAAGAGGATGACAGAATTTTCCCAGGGTCGATATTCGATTGAGACGATTTACTCGCAGAATAGCGTTTTCCCTGGAAATGAATACCGATACATTTTTTGGCAAAATGCGTTATTGCAAAGGCTATACACACACTCGCACATACACGTAGTAAATAATCAAATTATAATAACAAAATATAAGTTTTAATCAAAATTATATCCTTGTTTAAATTCAATACTTTGCGTTTTGGTATTAAATGTAAGGATTAGCAGATGGATTATTTCAAATAACTATTTTAAATGTGACACTATATATCGACAGCGCATCGAATAAGCTACTGTTTGATTAATTATTAGCCGTATTATTCATATAATTACGTTTGGATCTCGATTCAGTAGACTTGCGGCTCGACAGAGAAATGCGAAACACGTCGCGTTGAGCAATAATTTCGAGATTTTAACTACCGAATTATACATATTATTTTAACTAACAATAAGTTAGAGATTTTTATTTTTTATGCTAAAAAAGATGCACCGTTAAATTATTATCTAATCAATAAACTGATCTTTTAAATAATTGACAGCGATATTTATTAACTCGATTGTAAATATAGCTAATTTGTTTCTTATTTTCGTTCAATCTCTAAACGAGGTGAACGTGATGTTCGCGTTTAGAAACACTTCAACTTGTGATTAGCATAATGGGAACTCGTTGGTAACTCGTGTGCGATCGATCGGCTATGAGACTAATTCGCAGGCTATACGCAAGTGCTACCGATCGATAGCTACTCTGCCACCACGGTTTTACCGCAGTGATACACGGTCTTACACTTCGTAGCATTACATTCGACAAATTAATGTAATTATGGTGGTGACGATACGCGTTTGATTCCGTGATGTAACATTCGCAGAGCTGCACCATTACAAGACGGATACGCACACGATAATTACGTTGTCATCAAAGTCAATCGGCATAAAATATAGCGGCACGTAAATAGAAATAGAAATATTACATTTATCGAAATCGTGAAATTTTTATTTTATTTCCAGCATCTCGCGATTTTATGAATATATAAAAATTTATGCAAAACATTTCCATGCATTATTTATACGTAATAAAAACTGTATATAGATAAAAATATATATAGATATCCGGATATTGTCGTCATTTTCTTAGATATCCAAATATTTTTAGCGATATCGAGATTTCTGTCTCACATGCGATTTTTTTCATGGTTTGATATTTATGCTATTGGATAATATATAATAAAGTTAGTTTCTCTAAAAGAGCTGCGAAACAAACAGCGTTCATCAATCAGATAATAATAAGATATCTAGACAATTTCGCAAAATTAAATGGTTACGAAACAAAAATTTATACAAAAATTCCGCAATAATTTTCCGCCTCGCTCGCCTTGATTGATGATCGTATACAATACAAATGCCATCGCGCGTGCATCGCGCATATTTGTGCGCTTTGTCCAGAAACGACGACGACGATGATGATGATGATGGAGCTAAAAATGCTATCTTTTGTTTACTCTTTTTTTTTACGATTGCAGTTGCATCTCCACCGGACAGACGAGTCACGAGGGACGATATTGGAGTGGCTTCGGCCGGTGCAGCGGCGAACAACGCGACCGCTACCAGCTGCAGCGGTTCGAGCAGCGCAGCTTCCACGAGGCCGCGCAATCCTTCCTCCTCTCCTGGTCGAAACGGCCAACTCTCCAGTAAGTTTTCCAAGTATTACCTCCCCGAGATACACTGCAATGCTTATCGACCAGACATTTCTACAAGCGTATTTCCTCAAAAAGCAAAGTTTTTCCTACTCCTTTTTTTTTTTCTTCTTTTCTTGGACACATCTCGACACACGTGGGAGATCACGATACTTTTATAATTTAACAATATTGTGTGAGCAAAGTCTGTGTTTCAGAAATACTGATAACATTGCAGGGTGGTTTATTATAAATGAAAAAATTGAGCGTAATATTGATAAGAATATCGAAGATAGTTTTATGAAAACTATGCGTGACAATTTTCGTATGCAAAAGAATTGAACTTTATGTGTAAAATTTTTATTTACTTATACTATAATATAATATTTTTACTTTATTTAATAAAATTAGATTTCCACGAAAATGTCATATTATTTCTGCGTTACGCGAAATGAGTTTCTGCCACGAGTGGATTTTTTTTAATGTAATAAGAGAGAAGTTTACTTTCATAGATATCAAGCGTATTTATTTTTCATTGGTTTTATGACTTCACTTATATACATATATATATAATAAAAATTTTTCGAAATGTTTATTTTAGTTTGTAATATATATTAAAATACCAACTAATTAATTGAAAATTGTTTTCGTACTAACGCGTGACGAGATGATCTTAATTATATTTTATGTCACATACAAGCTGTATTACGGAAGCTGTATTGCTCTTTATTTTCTAAAATGATTTACACCGTTATTCCGGGTAATGCGCCGGGCTCTTTGTTTGCGGAAAGATTTCTCCGTGATTTAGGGTATGATTGAATCTGGCTCCATTGAATCGCATTAATCGAAGCGATTACGTTCACTGTGTTTCAGAACAGGGCACTTTGACGATAGTACGCCGAAGTTCTGGCAAAAGCAAAAACATTAGCAGTGGAAGTTTCGAAAGTTCTCCACCGCCGCACAATCCCGACACTCCGTATTTATCGAGCCAATCCGTCGACCTCGATGAGATCCTCGATAATGTCGATCTCACGACGGACTCGCTTCCTGCTGTTGACACTCCCGACGCGTGCGACAAAGCTGCTCTCAGGTATCATATCGCATTGCAGGTGTTAATGGCTTTGCAAATGCGACACGCTTTTTTTAGATTTAGATGGAGGTTTGCTAAGAGTAGCATTAATGATAAAAAAAAAAAAAAAACGCGACATTTTTTAGTCGCTGGACGATTTTATATAAAATTTTATCGTTTTATCATTTTGAATTGGTGAGAGATAAAAACTGCATATTTTATTCGGACAAAAAATATATCTTTCATATATAGATTTTTACATTATAATTACATTCTCAGAGAGCGATTATGTTCCGCAACACGCGTATATTAAAAAACACGCAATTTGCATGTAATAAAATAATTATCTACCCGTGAATCATTCAGTGGGCTTATGAAAAATCATATTATGAAAATCAATTTATATGTCGAGTGTCAATTACGTTATACTTTTTCTACATATCCCCGTAATGTTTTTGTCCAATCTTGCGTTAAATATTTTATTCAACGTGAGATTAAAATCCCGCGACAATCCTGTGAAAAAAAAAAAAAAAAATATCCGCCCCTTCGAGCATCGAAGAGTTAAATACAATTACGTTAGCAATCTCGACTTGTCGCGCAATTATCGGAAAGCGATTGGATGCGAACGTCTAGTTTAGAAAGCACGTTATTGGCGCGCAGGGAACAAACTCCGAGGATACCTCTCTTTTGCAGATTGAGGTGTTTATTGAGGCAGCTACAACATGGGGAGATATCCGCCGAACTGCTTCAACGAAACTTGCATTATGCAGCTCGTGTACTCGAGGCCGTTTTCATCGACGAGACCAAGTAAGTTTCTTTACACGAGCGAGAGAGAATACCGAGTCTCTCGTGTACAAACGTGCAATGCAAAAAGACAATGGTCTATATACTCTGTATGACTATTTCAAGTACCAGTGTTTTCTTCCGCCGAAATTTACAGACATTGCCGACACGCTATCGCCTCCACGTCCCGCACCTCGCGGTTAATTAACAATTCTCTTTTTATAGGCACTGTCGATATCATAATTGTCGAGAATACGACAAGATTCAAGTTGATTCATGGTATATAATTTATCGATGTGATAGCACTTGGTTTGTGTTTCGATCGAACGTAGCCGATCGTGTTGCGTTTTACATAACGATCATTAATCGATTCGATTATTGAACGAGATATGACTTTAACAGCAGGATCGACTATGCGATTAATCATTTATTAATTATCGATCGACACAAGAGTCGCACAGCGTGCAACTTTTAACACGACGCGACGGTTTAACACGCGGTTCCTGTTTCATTTGCTAAGCGCAACTCAAATTCAGCCTTCTAGCTTCGCGTTATAAGAGCCTTTCGTTCTCGCGATGCGTCGTGCCGGATGAAACTCACAACCCCTGTTCGGGGGTCATTCGGCGATCAAAGAGACAGTCAGTTATAATGGACACAAAGGCCCCTGAATGCGCGCAAACGAGATCGATCGTCCGCATGAAAGCATCAAGCTCGCCGATGAGTCAAACGTTACATAGCGACAACGTTATGACGTTAAAGCTTGTCTAGCTTCTCTAACCGAGATCATTTCTCTAGGTTTGTTGAAGAGGAGTCGATGTCGGATGTCGGCGCCTCTTTAGCTCAGTGGTAGAGCACTGGTCTCGTAAACCAGGGGTCGTGAGTTCAATCCTCACAGGAGGCAAGTGAATTTTTGTCGTTAAGGTTTCCTAGTTCTTCCTAAATTGTCGTCATATCGATGCTATGACATCGAAAGCGAGAAATTTTTCTAAATTTTTCTTTTCTTACCAAATATACATGTTAAAATGAATTAGTTTTCTTTTTTTTTTTTCTTTCTATGTCAACATTTACGCGTTTGATAATGTAAATTGGTCTCTGATCTTTTCAGTGATTAATATATGATTGTAAATTCTGATTAACTGAAAAGATTTGTATCATTTCTCGCTTTTGATTGCAGAAAGGAAAATAAAGAGTCTTAACGAGTCTCCATAATATTATGTAGTTTCTTTAATGCTAATGGAAATATACATATTTGATATATATATGAAATTTGCATCTTTGATAATACAATTTGATGATCATTAATTTGTGTTATTCGTTCAAAAATAATAACGAATTATCGTATAATTTTACAATTGTTCAAAGAATTTTGTTCTCGAATGCGTATCTTTTATTATACACTTTGCATCGCGACAAAATATCTCATGCATCGAATGTGTGAAAATTGCACGCGGTCGATCACTTGCACTTGATATACCTCCGTGTCATGAAGATTATGACAAACTCTTGGAATATATCGCTTGAATCTGAACGCTTGATTTTTTTTTTTTAAATTTTCCATTTTCACGCACCTGCGATTGGTGTGGGCATTGCAACAAAAGTACGATACATATCTCGCAATCCTTCATTTCAGCAATGATTGTCATCGGAGAATACTACGCCGTGAAGCACGACGCATCGAGAGTTTATCATATTTTGTTCTATCAGAGATCGATGTAGTTTGGTCTATTAATATGGATATTCGTCGAAAATGAATAGTGCGATGCCACAAACGCCGATATCGAAAAGAAAGAAAGAGAAAAAAAAAAGAGAAAAACTTTAATCTTGTATTATCCTGATCTTTTTTACACATGAACTAACAAGCACTACCGCAGGGTGAGTTCAGGGAATGAGTGCGCTCGGTCATCACGTAGGGGGGCGGGCCTGACGTCCTCATCCCTAGGGGGCGGCTTGGAACCGGACGGACCACAGGGCCACGCGGTGGTAACCCAGAAACGGAAGCTTCGCACCCCCGTATGGGCAAGGTTGCGAAACATTCACATTTCCAACCCCCTTACGACTCCCGCACCGTTTGTCCCTTCACATGATGTAACATCTTCCTCCGACTCTTCTCTAGTTTCCTTCTCCTTTTCTCCCCTTTCCCCCTTCTTTCTCTTTTCTCTCCTCCCCTGCACACCGATTTTCCCGCCGTCCGTATCCGTGCCGTCGAGGTTCGCGTTTGCGCGTCTCGCGAGAGGCGAGAGACATTTTTTTCTCGAGAATAATAGTTGGTAATCGCGGCGATAAGCGACAAACTTAAATTTCGTTTACGTAATAATGTACATATTTCTGCTAAAATTGGACGAGTTTTACACATGTTTCTCGTTACTTGACAATAAAATATTCTATTTGTTTTCCAATATTTTATTTTACGTGACATTTAATATTTTATATAATATTTTATTTGCTCTTCATCTCTTCTCTGTTTCTCAATATTCATCGAACCACGTTAAATGTCAATCTGCCAATACTCATCACAGACTCGAATTTTGCGCATAACGTGAATAACATGATCGACAACTGATCAGCATCGCGGAAACGCGACGATGGGATGTTTGCTAGATACGACGTTTTTTGTCTTTTACGGACTGGATAAAAAATTGTCATTATTATATATTGTAATATAATTGACGTCCCAGGCTTTCCTATATTAAACGGATCGTTTAGCGGATCGATTAACATTAAAAATGTTACTCTTATATTTTAATGTGCGTGCTCTTTTTATATATATTTTATTGTATATATAATCTTTGTATATATAATATTTTTCCTTGAAAATACCACCCGAGTTGTCGCTCTTTTCCGTAGAATACCAACTAATAAGTGGAACGAGTCAACGTTTCGTTATCTTTTAGCGAATATAGCTTCTTCGTACGTTATCAATCTAGTCTAGTTTATGTGCACAGAAATTAAAACTCATTACGTAGCTATGCGTTCTTTCGTTAATAAGCATCTTTCAATAGTCGAAGAACACAGATATAACACTCGGAATACAAGACAATTAGCATGTTTCTGCAAATTGTTGCATCGATTAGTAATCGTCTATATATATGTAGACGATTCTTTTAGAAAATACTATCAAAAATATTTGTTACTCGTTTGGGATTGTCGATACGGATTAGTCCAGTATAGTTGACGCGCGATTAAATTTTCGTGTTTGTCACGTATGAATGACCACAGAGATAACAATGACATTTAATTGTTTAATATTTTTCCTAAATGTTGAAATCTCTTATTCGTTTTGCGACACACGAATTTGTATAAATAATCGGACGATGCGCGACAGGGAACATTAATTCCACATCATTTATAATCACGTTTATCGACAATTTTTAATTTTTATTTCTGCATCTTGTGCGCGAACGTTGAATCTAGATGAGAGGATAAATATCGACGAGAGGAATGATTCCTCGATCACGAGGATCAAACGACGCTTTCGAACACAGCATGAAAAACGTTACTCTTGCCTTGCCTTGTCTATCTCTCGCTCCCTGTCTCTAGTCTACGTCTTTTCTAGCCTCTTTCTAGGTGTAACCTACACGATTTGTCGGACGTATCTGCCTGCCGTGCAACATGCATCGTTTTCATGATAATCGATCGTTTCTAACTGGTTTAGCATTGTTCTTGCCCGAGAAAGAGAGGAGTGCATGTATATACGTTTATCGCCAGGCGGTCTTCGATAATAAGCATCTCTCGTAAATCTATCGCGGCGTGTGGGGGAGTGACTCGAAAAATGCTACGAGAGCGGTTACGAGGATGGCTATCCCGGGAACTGATCTTCAGCCAGAGCGAACGAATGGCGGAGAGCGAATAAAGAGGGAATATTTTCAAGTCACCCCACGCAGCAGGCATGCCAGGGATGTTTGCTTGATGTAGCAAGACGCTTAGATCGATGTGAAACCTTTCAATGTGATATATGTTTTTCCTTCGTGTTTCACGTTATAGAGACGCCGATCGTGTGGAGTCAGCCGCCACGTGTCGTCCGGGTGTACGCCGTAGGTTCGTTTCATCCAAAATTTTCATTTCGCGCCAACGGAAATCGCCAAGACACGCCAACAAGGAGATAACGCTTTTTTTTTGTTCTCCGCACTTTGAGCTTGGCGCCTTATCGAGTTCCTTCTGCATGAAAAATCACTCGCGCGATTTGCGTGAGACCTTGCTATATAATATACAATGTCACTTTGCTCGCGGGATCAGGATTCGTTTTTTTTTTTTTTTTTTTTTTTATTTTTAGTTTTGCTGGGCGCACTCAA